ATGAGGATCTCATGATAGACGAAAACAATCGTGAACTAGAACAGTTTGCAGTAATGACCCCCTAATAAAGGATTTGCTTGAAGATTATATTTCTAACGATGCTATAATTGATGAGGATAGTGATACGATGATAATTCTACAGATGATGGTAATAACAATGAAGGTAATAATGAGTTTTGGAAGAGTGGGTGACCAAAAGCGGTACCCTAAGACTAAAAAAATTTTAGGATGGTATTAGTACTGATGATGATTGTGATGACGAGGATAATACTTCAAATAATAGTGGTAACGATGATGGTATTGATCACGTTTGACTGGATGGGTAACTAGGAACAATACCCTAAGGATGGTATTGGCGAACAAACTCACCTACAGATGGTATTGGGGATAACCCACTACAAAGTTACAGGTAATGGAAAAATTTTATAAAGATGATGGCGATCAGGATGTCATGACGATGATGCTACAGATGGTGGGAATGACGAACAACAAGGTGATGATAACGATGGTAATGACAAAACTCACACGAAGATGTAAGGATGAATAGGATGCTGGCAAAACTTGATGATGATGATGACAATCTTCAACTTGATGCCGGACATCGCCCCGTATAGGCTTGTCCTGATGGCACGAACAGCGCCTTGATTATGCTTGATGACGCATCCAAGCTGGTCCCCTGCAGACAAACAACACCCTGCCTCTGATAAGAAGCAGCACCCCGTTAATGACGACGGACCAAGATGATGTCGGATCGTGACCTAATGACAATGGCGATGGCGAGCAGCACTCCAACGGCCGATCGTGACTGTAAACACTCGCACTTCAGAGAACCCCGGGCTGACTCCACTGGACTCCACAGGCATCGTCACAGCCGACGCCTCTCAGGCCAAATGCCACGTGCAGCAATGCAGCGGCTATGGAGTGAAACGTGGAACTCCCAGAAACAGAACGTCACCGGGAGTCAAACCATCTGCCACATCAGCCTGTGATATGGCGTAGCCAAGCGCCTGCGGTCCCCTGCGCGTGCGCAAAGCGCCAGATCTTCAAAAAAACAAACCACCATCGCCGCCGCGCGCCATCACCATGAGTACGATATCATAGCGTCGGGAGGGGCGCAACGCTCCCGGTAGCGCTGCGCCCCTCGCTTGGAGCTCGTGGCTGATAAATCTAGCTCAATGACCGTCTTATTCCGCCAAAACCCATTCTTTTTTGGATCTTTTCTTTTTTTGAGTGTTCGCTGGGGGGTATAAGTTGGCTTCAAAGGGGCTAAAGGGGTTTAAACCACCAGTACTTCCTGAAGTCGTGCCCGTTAACAAGCCACAATTTTGGGAAACGTACGGGTCACTACAGGAGCACCCAAATTCAACCGACTGGAAACTTTTCTGCTCTTTTTTTCCACGGCCGATAGCTGGGCCAAGCACTGGTGGTTCGGCCATGGGAAAAAAATAGAGTAGAAACGTTTCTAGTCGGATGAATTTGGACGCTCCAGTAGTGGCCCATACGTTTCCTAAACTCGTGGCTGGTTAACGGGCACGACTTTAGGAAGTACTGGTGGTTTAAATGGGGATGCCTCAGTCTAATTTTTTTAATTAAACTTGTAACAGTTTTCTTTTTAATCTTTTATCCCGTGAGGAATGGAGATGTGACCCTCAGCCAAACGTTGTTTGCATTACTCGCTAGTGCATTGCTATTACGATGCGCGGGCGGCGGGGGATCGCATGGGGCCAGCTGCGGATAAGCTGCGCTTAACCAAAACTTGTTATTGGGTATGGCGGAGGCGGAGAGGTGATAGAGCGTGTGGGCGCTGAGGTGGAGGCCGCTTCGAGGGGGCACAACCATGCACCTGCCATAGCCTGATCTTGGCCAACAAGAGTTGGTAATCCTAGATTGGCCGCAGAAGGAAGGGGAGAGATGTGGGGTAAGTCAATGGGCAAGATTTGCACATCGTACATATCAGTATTATCACATGATCAGGGGCTTTGCCCTCTGATTACAGATATGGAACATGATCGTTTTGCAACGGCGGTTGCGGTATTATCTGCGCAAAGAGCTGGAGATGAAGGACAAGAGTGCATCAACAAACGTCGACTTCGGGGAGTGAGAGAACAGACTTCATGCCGCACCGTCACTGACAACGGGTTTCAAGCTGCAACCGGGGTTGTCCATTGTTGTCTAAGCTCCTACTTCGGGCGTGGTGTTGCTCATGAAGCTGCAACCGGGGTTGTCCGTTGTTGTCTAAGCTCCTACTTCGGCCATGGTGTTGCTCATGATCCTCTTACCTTCGGTGCTTTCACGGATGCTTCATTGTGTTTTTAGATTCTAATCATTCGGCTGTCTTCTCAGTATGGAATAGTACCAATGACGGTTGTTCGGGAAATTTGGGGTGTATAATTAGTCTTTGTGGACTGGTAATTCATTGACTTTGTTTGTCGACAGTTAGGGTAGCGTTACTCGCTAGGTAGGATTGGTGCTCATTATGATCGTAATTTCCAGAGATTGGCAAAGATATCTTGTTGCTGGTTGGCGGTGTTAATTAGAGGTATACAGAGTGTAGAATGTGAATTTTGTAAAAGGTGAAAGAATAGTACGCCCATTGAGCCTGGCACAAAAAAAAAAAAGAAAAAAAAAAAGTGAATTTTGTGAATGGTTGTTGCTTTTGCCCGTGGGTTGGTCCATCACATGGGTTGCTAATTTGGATTTTAGTTGGGGTTGCTGATTGGAGGTGCATAGGGTATATATAGAGTTGGAACTTTGTGAATCACTTTGTAATTCTGTCCTTGGGTAATTAGGATTAGATCATTGACAATCTTGTCTTCATGCTTTTGGTTGGTGATTTGTTACCTGGCTTGGATTTCGCTAGATTAGGGTTGCTTAATAATGGCGGTTTGGAGAAGGGGTGGATTAGGATTTTTGTCTCTTAAATTAGGGAACGTGATTTTTGTTTTGGGCTTGGAATTGGGATCGGTTGTCATGACCTTGTGGGGCTGCGGTAGGGATAGGTTTGGCTGAGTGTGGCGTACTGCGTAGCCACACGGGCCCTGCAGGGGCCGTCCCGGACATTCAGCCTAAAAGCCTAAAACTTAGGGCTTACAGGCCCCGTTCGTTTCAGCCTGGATGTTGAAAACGAGGGCCTGCAGACCCTACCTCGTTTCAGCCTATTTCTGGGTCTTTTCAGACCCAGAGTTTTCAGCCTGAAACGGAGGGCCATTTTCAGGCCCTCATTGTTTCGACCTGCCCTTAAGACTCAGACACGGAAACAGGGATGCGGAACAGGCCCAAAATAGCCTGTTCCTCACGTGCTCGAGCAGGAGCTGCAGTTGCAGCCCCTGCCTCCCTTCGGCAGGCTCAAGAGGCACACCCGTAGTACATAGGAGGTTCCCATGCACTTCACGGGTAGGTAGTGTCCAGTAGGCACGAGTAGTCTTCAGGATTCGGCCGCAGCACTCAGGAGGAGCGCTGCAGTAGTCTTCASCGCTAGGCAGTAGTAGTAGCGCTAGCTGTAGTCTTCGGCGCTGGGCGCCATAGCCGTAGCTGTAGTCTTCAGCGCTGGGCGCTGGTAGATGGTAGATCGTAGAGTGGGAGAGAGACTGGCGGAGGCCAGTGTTACTTACCTGTGGCGCCATCGCTCCAGCTCCATCTTCGTGGTACCTGCATCAAGGCGCCAACTTCACAGGTTAGTACTGGACACAGAGAGAGAGAGAGAGAGAGTTCTTCTTCTTCCTCTTCTAAGTCCACCTTCTCTTCTCACCCTCTCGCCACCTGACTTCTCAGACTACGACAGAGAGAGACAGAGTTGTGACTCGAGACTTGACGACATTGGATCCAGACTTGACACTTGGGATTCAGACATTTCGACGAGGGACTATTTGGGCTTGTGCCGAAGACTTGGTGTTGACGACATTCCCATCTTCCCCCTCCTCTTCGTCTATCCCCTTCCTCTTCGTCTGTGTATGGTACAGGCTGGCGCTGTCTTCCTGTGTGAAGCCCCAGGCCCATTCACACCATGTAACGATGATGATGATGTATGTTCAGGGCTGCATTACAACATTGATTGTTCGGATCACTGGTATCTAAGTCTTCCGTTGTGTTATCTTATACTTTGTATTGAAAGGTCGGTTCTTGTTCTGGTCTGCACGTTATAGTATGCAACAGTTTGGTATCGGAGCGAACCTCTCATTCAGAGGACCCGCTCAATCAAGTAGCCAGCTTGCGATCTATTGATCACTCATTAGTAACGCAAGTAGGGCTTAGTCAAATCTCTGATTTTTTTTTAGGACTTAGTCAAGTCTCTGATTTTTTTTTTCTCGCAACAACTATTTGAAATTTATGATATTCGCATTTTCGTTTTATCTGAAAATTTCTGATATTAGTAGTTTGTTTTTACGTGACAAACATCTGAAAATTTCTGATAAATCGCATTTCATTTTGTCTGAAAATTCCCGATAGTAGCAATTCATTCCTCTGATATTTCGCATGCATAGCTGAAATTTCTGAAGTTAGTAGTTTCGTTCTCTAGGCATATTGGATAACGATAGAAGTGATCATATTCTCGGAAACTGAAATTATTCTTTTCTGAAAATCGCATTTCCATTCTATCTCGCAAATTTTTTTTGAAAACCGAATCCTGCGAAGCCTACCAATATTGCGTTAGGCATATTCGGAGGTTGCTATATTCTCAGAAACTGGATTTCGTTCTTTTTTGAGAATCGCATCTTTACTCCATTTCGCAATTTTTTTTGGTTCAAGATCGCAGTTTGTAAAAGCCAAAACCTTGCGGCACCTAGCCTAGATCTCGTTCATTAATCTCTTCTGACATATCCTACTCATCATAAATCGACAGATATATACAAAAAAAAAAAAAAAAAGGAAGTAGTCCTCTTTTATTTTTTATTCTTTTATTTTATCTGTTGATTAGGGCCGGAGGAAAGTATTGTTGGGTTGGTTACCTACCTACGTTTTCCCTCCCACCCACCCCTTGCATGCATCCCGGTTCGGTACAGTGCCACGTCAGCAGCGCCACGTCACAGTGCCGGATCAGCAGTGCCACGTCACAGTGCCAGGTCACAGTGCCACATCAGCAATGCCACGTCACAGTGCCAGATCAGCAGTGCCACGTCAGCAGTACCAGGTCACAGTGCCACGTAAACAGTGCCACATCAGCAGTGCCACGTCAGAAGTGCTACGTCACAGTGCCAGGTCACAGTGCCACGTCAGCAGTGCCATGTCACAGTGCCAGGTCACAGTGCCACGTCAGCAGTGCCATGTCACAGTGCCAGATCAGCAGTGCCACGTCAGCAGTACCAGGTCACAGTGTCATGTAAGCAGTGCCACATCAGCAGTGCCACGTCAGACAGTGCCACGTAAGCAGTGCCATATCAGCAGTGCCACGTCAGACACAGTGCCACATCAGCAGTGCCACATCAGCAGTGCCACATCAGCAGTGCCACGTCAGACACATTGCCACGTCAGACAAAGTGCCACGTCAGCAGTGCCACGTCAGCAACATGACGGACCTGCCTGGGCAACTGCCCAACGAGTCCATTGCCGCCTACAAGCAGCGTTGCCTGGCTCAGATCGAGGCTGAGGAACAACGCCATCTGGCAGACGAGGCTGCCCACGTACAGGCTGAAGAGGCAGCAGCAGCAAAGAAGCTGCGACTACAGGCCAATGCAGACGCAGACTCCCAGGCTCGCCGCAAGGAAGCCCAGGATCTGCTACAACGGCATGAAGCCACAAGCACCGACAGACTCAAGTTCTGACACTTTGAACCAAACGGCGATGAGGCAACACCGAAAGAGAAGCACAAGGAGTTCCTCTCCAAACTCGTGACGCGGTTGTTGTATGCTTGCAACTACCAACGGTCAGAGTTGGAGAGACAGTACCAGGACCTGACGCAACAGCATCAGGAGTTGGCACAGCTCCGCCGCATGGTGCAGAGCCACGAGGATGCAACCCGGGCACTCAATGCCCGATTGCTGGACCTGGAACAGGCTGTACCAAGACCAACTGTTGGGGCTTCCAGCAGTGCACCCTCAAGCCGCCAACTGGAGGACCGCGTTGACCACGTAGTGGCAATGCTCAGCGACATCAGCACCTTCGCTGCGTCGACCACCACCATCAGCAGTCAGCTGCATACATTGAAGACCGAGGTCCAGCAGCTGCAGACGACGAACGGGGATGGCAATCCGAAGATGTATAAGATGCCAACCTTCAATCTGGAGAGGTTCGACGACTACATGCAGCAGGATCCGGTCCTCTGGTGGGAAGCATTCACAATGCAACTCAGGATTCTGCCCGTAGCCAAGCATGCGTACATCAGCGCCCTGTTCCTGAACTCAAAGGGCGGATGCCAGACCTGGTTGAGCCACCTGGCAACCTCCCACGGCGTCGACGTACCAGACTTGAAGGACGTAATCACATGGGAGAACTGACACGGCTGTGGAAGAAGCAGTTCATCGTCGACGACGCGCCGACACTCGCCATCAACCTTTTGTTCACCATGTCACAGGGCAACAGCAACACGGGACTGGCTCACGGTGGCAGAAGATTGTGGTTGTGCCCAATCTGAACTTACCATTTGAGCATCTACGTCGTGAGTTCTACAACAGGTCCTGTGCTGCATTGAGCCAGGCTCTTGGTGATCGCAAGCAGTACTCAACCTTCGCGGAGATCATTGACAAAGCGAGGGAGATCATCAAGACCAACAGGTCAGCTGCACACGAGAAATCAACATCATGGCAGCCGACCTACGTGGAGAAGGTACGAACTGGTCCACGACAGCAGCACTTCGCTGCAGTCCAGCAGGACAGTGGAGATAACCGAGCAGCCACTCCAGCATCAAGTGACGGAGATCAGGTGGCTGTTGTCCAGCCGCGAAGCACCAACAAGTCCCGCAACAATGGGAAGGCGAAATCCGCATCGCAGGCCGGAAATGTACAACCGGGATAGTTTCCATGGGTCAAGTTTGGCTTGACCGAGGCAGAGTACAAGGTCCACGGCCGCTACGACAGCTGTTATTTGTGCAACAGCACCAAGCACAAGACCTCCCTGTGACAAGATTA